GATTTTTAGCCGGGCCAATCAGAGAAGAGAAGGAGGAGTTTTGAACAATGTGGACTTACTGTGCAGTGTCTGCTAGTTATTTTAGCATACGGCAGTGGAGGAAATGAATGAAGTCAGTCTGTGTTGATAAGGCTTCAAATTAAAATAAATTTGTCTGACAAAGCAGCAGCTCTCATTTACAGTCGTCTCGTTTGGCTCTGTACTTCTCTCCTCTCAATAGGGTTGTTTACAGCACACGTGATTTCCAGTATCTTCTTAGCTTAGCCTCTGTCACAGCGACATACATCGCAGCCAACTGATCCAATCATTTTAAACTTCAGTAGAGGCCACGCCTCCTGCAAGAAATCGATTCTCAATGCATCAAATCCAGACCCTTGTCCGAAGCAAAGTGAAGGACAGGGTCTGGTTCAAACCAGGCTAATTGCGAGGTAACGCAAAAGTATTGCGAGGTAACACAAAAAAGTATTGCGAGGTAACGCAAAAGTCCCCTCGCTGGCTCCGTAAACATATATACGGTCGGTTGGTCAGATATTTTTATGGCTTGTTGAGGGAAATACTGTATGTTGCTCATTTTTGCACATTTTGCTGCGTCCACTTGGAGACTGTAGTGTCTCTGTTTGGTCTCTGGTTCCGTTTCGGTTCGGTTCGGCTTTGTCAGCTGCTGGACTCTTCTCTCTCCCTCGTCTGCTCACTTCTGCTGTCGGTGGCTGCTGCTTCGGGGCTGAGCCGGCTGGCTGGTTCCGCTATCGGTGGCTTCTGGGTCGAATGTCAATAAAACTCTAGTCTAACATTTGAATGACGAAAAGACTATTTCTTCAGCTTTGGACATGTTTATTCAGCGAGAGACACTAAAGAGGGTCCACACAGCTAGATGTTTACTAAGACTCTGCCCCCAGGAGACGCGTGAGCATGCCTGATGCTCGCTCCCGTATTAAAGGGCCATAAACACCTGAAAATTCACCACAAGACCTTTCTGCATTTTCTCCCCAGTTTCACGACGAGCTTTGTACAGAGCTTCCTACTTTCCAAATCCTGACCGGCAGCTTCTGGCCGGATTTACAACTTTGGTTAAAAAGGGGAGGGTCTTGCCGGCCGGCCGAGGACTGCTGAGAGATTTCATTGGCTTAGCTCAATGTCGATCATGAAAATCAACCAATAGGCAGTCGTGATCGACAAAAATTGTTTATAATAACTGAAGTGGCTGATATCAGGAAATCCTACTAATGGCTGGAAAAAGCTGGACTCAAGGACAGCACAGAGGCACTTATCCTAGCTGCACAGGAACAGGC